TTAATATAAAAAATTTATAACAATCAATTCACCAGAAGAATGCCTTATGCATAAAGCAAAAACACAATTATAATCATGTGATCGATGATTATAATTAAGATAAATAACTTGTATTGTGATAATCCATTATACAAATATATATATAAAATTATTTATGGCTTTTTACATATTATGCACATTTATGCACATATAAAAATTCTATTGTTATTTAAATTACTAATTAATGTTATATTGATACTATTTGTTTGTTTTTATGATTGTATTTATTTGTATTAAGCTATTTTTTTTGCATGTTAGGAAGTTGTTGAAGTGTTGGCATTATTTTTCTGCCAACAAACTGCTGAACAGTTTAGCAGACTGTAAAACTATAACAGTGTAAATTTAAATTATATTATATTAATAAATATACAATTTTACTGCATAAATTCCTTCATGGGTATATGCATAGAATATATAATGTACAACATTCAACAACAATAATTTGTAAGCCAATAGACATTGCTTTAACTATATAAATTATGTTTTAAGCATTAAGTGTAATAAATTATATTCACAAACCTGGCATATACAACATTGGCATAGCTGTATTGACAATTTTGTAACTGCGATGTAGATACTTGACCTCAAAATGTCTGCGACACACATGTCGTTACTTATATATGCGCTCATTTTCTAGGCATAATATAATCACCAACTGCATACACCCATTTATTGAAACAATCTCATTCCTTAATTGGATTTGAAAATCGATGCAGCACTTGCTTCCTGCCTAGAATCAGTAAAGACATTCGATTAATATTTTCATATTTGCTGATTTTAATGTCATAGAATTATAAAATTACAATATTCTAAACTGGAAACTTTTTTAAATAAATATTATATGGTATGTTATGTATATAACTCAATTAACACATTGTTGACTATAATTAACAGCATCTATTTTTAATATTCTACTACCTCATTGGGTACTAATTTCAATAAAATTTATGATCAACTTTCTTAAAAATAATACTTATCCAGCAAGGGCACTAAGATTAGGGATGAAGGATATTTTAGCTCCTAGCTTGAACAGTATTTGATTTAGGAGCGTTAATCCTACTCATATTAACCCATTACGTACCGTGGGACGTAAGAGACTATAAGAAATGGCAGAAAAATATTTTGGCTTCGACTTATGGCAGTACATTGTAACTCTTTTACATCTAAAGTAGAATACCAAGAAGTCTAATACTACTAAGTCTAACTTGCCGTGTGTGGCTATTAAGGCAAATTCTTCTTACGATAGGTGAGGCCAATGATCTGCACTGGGCTTTTACGGGTTAAAGATATACATATAATAATGATATGAAAATAGAATCGTAAGACATAGTATCTTAACATAATACCTTGATTTTCTGTACACCCAGGAACACAACAATGTTTATCTGATGACGTTATTACAACAAGATTTGCTAATATTATATACTTAAAAGTATAATAGATGTAGGCCTGTCTCAGTTGTACAATATACACTATAATTATGAACAAAATAAGAGTTTTACAAATACGCAGTTGCGGATCGGCCAGAATCTGGTCGCATGCCAGACGCGCGAGAAAGCCAGATTCTGGCCGACTGCCAGACGAGGGGATATTATAAACAATATATCAAACACCCAATAAACACGAGTCGTATCTCAGCTGCACAAATATCACTGTTATTATTATTATATAAACCTAACGAACAAAAGGGATTGGATTTAGAATCGTTTGGCAGGAATTTGAGAGAGTAAGGTGTTTTATTTGGTAGAGGTTTGGTCCCCGATTATAATAATACCACTCACATTAAAAGGTAATTCAGCGCTATCGAAAAAATGAATAAAACTATTATAATTTATAACCTAAAATAAGTAAAGTATGGTACATATATTTTATTATTAAAACTGACTTTACGGCTGTGGGTCCTAGCCCTTCTGAGAAAAAAATTATACGATATTACTGTGAAAGCTGGATAGCATCAGAACTTTGTGCCTGCGGCGGGAGCAAAGGCAACCTGACTTTAGATATCTGATCTGATCGAATCTGTACTAAAATTAAATCAGCACCATCAGCATCGACGTAGGCTATCTGCCATATTCCTAAAGTGTTTTTCTAAAGCCGAAGGTGCGGAGGAGTGCAGGCCCCGCCCGTCGTAGCAAATCGCAGGCCCCTATGCGAGCCTTAGTGTGGTTATTATTGTATTATATATTATGTTTACAATTTAAAGTAATTATAAAAGCTAATATTTTGGTGTTTTGTTGAGTGCATTAGCGAGCGAAGCGGGCTCGGGAGTTAGGCACCCCGACTCGGACAGGTTAGGTTAGAAGGGGAAGGGAATGGGTCCGAGTGAGCGAGCGAAGGGAGTGAATAGACCCCGCCATTCCCTTCGTGATTATTTTTTTGTAAACTACTCAGAAGTAGGAGCCCCGCTAAGCGGGGCTCCGTCGACCGGCCTTCCCCAGGCTGCGCTACGCGGTGCTTCTCTCCTCCTAGTCAAAAATATTACAAACACATAACCTCAAAATTAGATTTTTAAAAATTTACTAGCTTCTGTCCGCGACTTCGTACGCTGATCCTGTTGCTTATGCCAGCGACAACGGGGTCGTCAAAATCAAACAACGTGATTCGTGAGACGATTCGAGACGTTCTAGATCTTTCATTTTTGTAAGTCAACAGGAAATGCCCATCAGACTAAACAACTTTTGCTAAGACGTCATTCCTATATATGTCATAGTGTCGCTGGGCTTTGGATGGAGTGTAACTCCTTGTGTGTTATTAAGTTAATATACTGGTAATATTATTTAGATCACGTTCACATGAGGCTTAAGTACTTATAGAACAAAAATACTTCAACGCAAAGCTTCCGGGTAAACTATGTTGAAAGTTGACCCATCCGGCATGTGAACATAAAGATTTCTAGAACTGCTAACCCGGGAAAGAGGGACGTACAACTGACCATGCGAGAAACAACTGACACCGAGATCTACTCCAGCAATACGAAAAGTCTGCCCTTGAGCCTTATTAATTGTCATTGCATAACACACTGATACTGGGAATTGCGTTCTTTTAAATTGGAATGGAAAATTATTTGGTATTATGGGAATTCTGGGAATGAAGACGGTTTCTCCTGCACCGCAACCTGTTAAAATTTGAGCCTCGATTATATTTTGTTGCAACTGGGTTACTTTTAGCCGAGTTCCATTGCAAAGTTGTGGTGGTCTTAAATTTTGGAGCAGAATAATCGGAATGCCAATTTTTAAACAAATTTCATGAGAAGGAAGTCCGGGCATATTTAAAAAAATTAAAAATTCTATCGGTTAATTAGTGGCTTCTTGTTCATCGACCATTCTATTTATTGAACTATAAACTTTGCTTTCCGCCTGTATATTCGACAGTATTTTGTTATTAATCTCAGATGCCTGGTCATTGCGAGGAGTTAAAATGGATCTTTCGCATAGCCAAGAATTGTCCCTATTTAATATAATTGTTACGTCACCGTAAACCGATGATATAAGATGTGGTTGGGATTGCACTATACAACATAACTCAGGCGTCAGAATAAGTTTTCCTTGGTGTAGTTGTGGATAGGTACCTTCACCAATCTTTAATAATTTATCAGAAAATTGACGATCATCCGGGTTATCTCCAGTTCTCACTCGCATGTTTATAGTCAAATGTATATCATGCCACAAATAATAATAATAAATAATATTTAGACACAGTAGCCTCCCTCCACTGGCTACGCTTTGGTGATCTCTTCGGGGAAACCGAGGGTTTTGTCTGTGCAATACAGGATCAGGTTATTAAGACCAACAACTATCGGAGATACATCCTAAAGGATGGCACCTTGGACATCTGTCGAGCTTGTCGCCATCCCGATGAGTCACTTAAGCATGTCATCTCCGGTTGTTCGGCGCTTTCTAACTCTGAGTACTTGCACAGGCACAACCTAGTAGCCAGAATTCTTCACCAGGAGCTCGCTCTGAAATACGGTCTCGTGGATCGGAAATTGCCGTATTACAAGTACTTGCTGGAAGCCGTGCTCGAAAATGATCGCGCCAGGCTCTATTGGGACCGGGCCATCATCACAGACAGGACTATTCTTGCGAATAAGCCTGATATTGTGCTGATGGACCGGGCACAGTCAAGGATATTTTTGGTCGACATTACCATTCCGTATGACGAGAACCTCGTGAAAGCCGAAACAGACAAGCAAACAAAATATCTGGACCTGGCTCACGAGGTGACCGACATGTGGGGTGGTCTGCCGACCGAAATTATTCCTGTAGTCGTCTCTGCAAACGGGCTAATCCCAGTCAGCCTCTCGGGTCATCTGAGGCGACTGGGACTACGTGGCGGACCGCTCCGGGCTCAAATGCAGAAGGCGGTGCTCCTCGATACCGCCCGCATCGTCCGCCGGTTTCTTTCCCTTTCCCCCTAACCCTCGGCCGTTTGGTCTCCCCTGCCGAGGGCCTCCATCTGGTTGGGCTTTTATTCATTTATGTATTTTTATATTTATTTTATGTTATTGATATTTATGTATATTTATCTTTTCATTTTCATTTATAATTATATATTTATAGAACCCAACCAGATGAGAAAACTATATAGATACCCCAAAAGAAATAATATATTAATAGAAATAATAATAATATATAATATATAAATACTAAAATTAGTGACTTCAAAAGTTCCGGTGGATCTTCGAACGAAGGCAAATTTATTTTACCTCCAGAACAACAGAAACCAGCCGACTCCTTACTCCACTTTGAATCATTACAAAAATAACATACTACGTTCATATCGCCTATTACAGAAGATGATCTGTAATCAATTGTGAGGTTATAAGCAAACCTACTTTTATATTTGTCGGAACACGCCACCGAATTTGTAGATTGATATATGACATAGTCTTAATGACTGAGATTGTGTACATCTAAGTCATTAAGACTATGTCGAAATCTGTCTGCAGTAAGACGGGCCTCTCACTGTTCGTCCGTTTCAAGAGACCGAATATTTTCAATTCTTAATCTTTCATTAGACAAACTTATTAATCGTTCTTGTCTCAAAGAATTGTAATATTCGCGTACCGACTCTAGTCGTTGTTCGTGCTCATGTTCATCTTCAAAAGATCGAATAATATTATGGTGCACCCTATCATTTGTCGAACGGTCTTCATATTGAGTAAAAGTTTCAGATTCTCGAGATAAAATATGACGTTCGCGATCAGCTGTGAGACGTAATTCCCTCTCGGTGTAGGTTTCGGACTCGCGAGATAATGTATGCTGTTCGCGGTCAGCTGTGAGACGTAATTCCCTCTCAGTGTAGGTTTCGGACTCACGGGATAGTACATGCCGTTTGCGATCAGCTGTGAGACGTAATTCCCTCTCAGTGAAGGTTTCGAACTCACGGAATAGTACATGCCGTTCGCGGTCAGCTGTGAGACGTAATTCCCTCTCTGTGTAGGTTTCGGACTTGCGAGATAATGAATGCCGTTCGCGGTCAGCTGTGAGCCGCAATTCTCGTTGTGAAGCAGTTTCAGCTTCTCGGGATAACACATGTTGTTCTCGGTCAATGGTAAGCCTTACCTCTCGTTGAGAAGAACTTTGAGACGCCCGTGATATAGCTCGTCTCGCTCTGTCAGCTGCTAATCGAATCTCTCTATCTGGAGAGCTTTTATTGGCTCGAGAAGTTGAGGCACTAACTCTCATAGAGTTTAACCGATGTGCTCTTTCCTCTGCCGATTCTCGAGAACGCACATTTCTCATTCTCTTAGCTTCTCTCGAATTTCGAGATAATGATAATCGTTTTTTAGGTGGCATTGTGTATTTTATTTTTAATCGACGTTATTCAGTTACCTAACAAAATAATCTACGTTAGAGGTCCTAACTATAGCTACCATACATTTAAAAAATCTAAATGCCTACTTAAATAATAAAACGGATCCTAAATAAATCCTTAAATCCAAAATTAAATTCCTAAAAATATATAAGTAGGTACCTAAACTACGTCTAATAGAATGAAATAACCAATTTGATACCTAGGTACCTATTTAAAATTACAGCTGAATAACAAAAAAAGTTTAATAATTAAGCTAATACTAAGAAATATTTAAACACTACCAAAATAACCAATACCTATTTTATAAAATAACAACCAAAGAAATCTAAAAATAAATTATTAAACGTAAGAGTAGACTAAAAGTCGCGCTGATAAGCACGGTTTATTAAAATCAATTACTGTTTGTCAATAAGGTCGAACACTCTGAACGTCTATTCGCATCAACAGCCGAATATTGTATGAAGGACCCCCCGCCTTTTTATACCTCCCGCCGCGAGCCGCGTCGAACGCGGCGACCGTTACACAAAAATAATCTTTATAGCATGATTCAGTATTAACGCGCTATGGCTTATTAACGTATTTCATGTATAACTTTGGTGTTTCTATACCGATTTTTATGATTCTTTTTTATTGAATATATAATAATGTAAACTTTTTTAATTAGGGATGAGTGAGAGTGTTATAAACGTAAGAGTAGACAAATATAATCAGAAAGCTCCGAACTGCTAAGCTATCGGGAGTTACATGTGTTATTGTGAGTCAACCATAAAAGATAGACATATGCTGTCGTGGGATATTTTTTATATAATTTTAAGGAGAACATTTCCGTTATACATGATTTCTGTGTAGCTTTAACCATTAAGGCTGCACACGCGACGGAAGCTTAAAAATGGAGTAATTTCTCCTGTTTCCCCAACATTTACCTTCACTGCTCTGCTCCTATTGATCGTAGCGTAATGAAAAGTGTACTATAACCTGCCCAGGAGTATGAAGAATGATTGTACCAAGTTTCGTTAAAATCCGTCGAGTAGTTTTTGTTTCTATAACGAACATACAGACAGACAAAAATTTTACTGTTTGCATTTTTGGCATCAGTATCGATCACTAATCACCCCCTGATAGTTATTTTGGAAATATATTTCATGTACAGAATTGACCTCTCTACAGATTTATTATAAGTATAGATAAAAAAAAACTAAGCATGTTCGGTAGGATGTGGAGGTGGGGGGGCGACTCTACAGCTCCCCCGCCTCCCTCTCCACCACCTCCCACCCCCCTTAATTCATATTGGGTTATGATTTTGAGGTTAGTTCTATGGGATTTTCTTTTTGATTTTTCTCAAGAACAGTGCATATACCTTTTAATGGGAGTGGTATTAATATAATCGGGGACCAAACCTTTACCAAATAAAACACCTTACTCCCACAATTTCCTGCCAAACTATTCTAAATTTCAACCAACAATAGCTCTACTCAACGACACATTCACAGATGAACACCTTAAATTTATTAATTATCAAAAAATACTAATACACCATGCAAGCACAAGAATATTACAGTATAGTAACAGTAACAGACGTTTTTGAAATTTTGTTGATTTTGAAAAATTACTACATTTTAGTGCTGCCAGTGTGATTTTGCAGTAATAGTACAAATAAATAATTAAATTAAAATTAAAAGATTCAAAAACCTTTTAAACCCTTTAAATTTTACTCCGACCAAAACAAATTTAATTACATCTAATATTAACTGCTTTAAACTATAAATTATTGTATTACTTTATAAAAAAGATACCAATTTAGTAGTTTTCTTTATAAGCTCAAAACTATATAGCGCTATCTATCGAAAACTTAAAATATTCACAGAATTACTATTGCCCTCTGAACTTCAGAGTATGAACTAAATGATTATAATACTATTAAATTAAAAATACTTACTTTACTACTATCAAAAAGTATTTTTGCGTACTGTGTAATTTTGCAGTATAGTATGCAATTCATTTCCCTATTTTTGGTAGGTACTAAGTTTATTACGCATGGTCGTATCATTGAGAGTTGAGAAGACTCGCAGTGTACTTCATAGATTAATGTATATATACTATAATACTAGTTTACTTGTCACAGAGTACTTTTTATATACAGGTACTTGTAGTGGTGTACTGAATCGGCCGGCGTCTGCGCGTGATGATCTATAGTATTTTAAAATAATCATATCAAATAATTGACTAAATAAAACAGGCAACATTTCTTTTTTGGATATTTAACATTGCCTGTGTTTTGATAAAATAAATAAAATAGATTAGTTTATAAGCAAATACACGGAAAAAATTACATTGAAGTGGAAACTTAAGGTAAGGCTTATAGTATTGTATTTTAATATTAAATCGATTTTTTTTCGAAATTTAGGATTTGTCTTGCTCTAAAAGACTATATTATATTCCATTATAATAGCGCTTAAAATTAAGTGTTTTAGATTACTCCGACGCATATTTACGTAAAACGCTATGAAGGTATTATCTTTGCTCTAAAAACCGTCATTAAAAACTATGATTTTGCGTTGTAATGCACTAAATAAAGGCTTCAACTTTCTAAAGCCGTAATTTTCTGCAAATAGTTTGCTCATATCAGTATCCAGCAGCTATATCAACTATGTACATTAAACTCAACTAAAATACCATTTTCATCATAAATATCAAGCAATTTTGGTAATGAGCAGCTCATTGGGTTATTACAATTTTGAACGGCTTCATCCTTAGTTGTTATTCCTAATTGGCCCATATCACCCCCACGCATACAGATCACCATAATCACTTAAAGCTAAACCCCCCCCCCCCTCACACTCTCCCAGCAGATATTTTAATTATTTTTAATCTAGCGAATTAAAGGAAGAAAAAATTCTATTTGTTTGTCAATTTTTTCGTGCTGAAAATATAGCCTTAGATTTTAATATGTTTTATTGTTATTTTTGACTAATTGCAGTTATAATCTGTTCAGAATCCTTAATTTTCGTATGTAGGCATTTCTTCGCGTCTGTATATTATGTAAAGGTTTTTTGTAACATATTGACTACTTATGAATCAATTCATTATTCTAAAATTTTATGCACAATGTTTGATCAGAATCAAAAGTAGTGCGGTCGTGGAAGGAAAAGGGGAGATCTCCCACCGGGCAAGGTGTTCTGCCCGGGGAGCGGCCAACACTCCGTGTAATAGTTCGGAGAAGTTCTATATATACGAGTACTGTTTATGATTCGCAATGTTGATAGCGCGATTTAGGCTTCGGTGTGTTTTTGCTCGTGGCGCGACGACAGCGCCGCTACAGTAGTTAACACAACACAAGTGAAGAACACAAGTGGTGAAATTAAAAAAATTGTGTAAACAATAAATAATTCAAAAACTACTAGTCAGATCTTGATTAAATTTATATGAGAGCACACGAGAATCTTTTACTATCAGAAAGCTGGTACAGTAACACACATTAAAAAAACATGCTGTTGAATTGAATACCTCCTCCTTTTTGAAGTCAGTATTTTTATTTTTATCATTGAGCTATTATGTACTACGTCCTAGAGACGACACTGCATTCAGCTACTCTGTTCCACTCAACTGCGGTTCATGCACCGGTTCATCCGAATCATCAAATCAGTCACTCGCTAGGCGCTTGTAGGGTAGTCACGTGTTGTGTTGATTTAAAAAAATCTCTTGATTAAAATATGCCGTCGTGTATATTTAGATATTGCGCAATTCATTCAAGTAATGTCAGTAATAACCAACGTATTACTTTTCATTGGTTAATAAGATACTTAATGAATAAAAAAGTATTATAAATTAATAATAAAACAAGTTATTCCTAAGACGACATCTTGTGTCATGTAATATAGATTATGGAATTAATTTGTTCAGATGCGACATTTCTGTGGGTACTTAAGTATAGGACGAATATATTATTATACACATTTTTTTTGTAGAAACATATATGAGTTATCATAATTGGGCCAATTTTTTATATTTAAATCTGCTCGTTATTCTTTCATATTAAGTCAAAGTGGAATAAATTCGTCCATTTTTAACTCTCGCGTGCCCAGCATTTATGAACGACTCTTATTCTAATTTAAATAAATATATTTGTAACTTAAATTTTATATTAATAAGTTTTTTCAACTCACATTTAGTATGTTTTTTTATATTTGACATAGATACCTTTTAAAATATTCAGATAAAAATATCATTAAAATGTAATTGTGATATAATGTTATGTAATATAATATTAAATAAGCAAATATTATATAAAAAATAAATGACAAAATTTGAAAATTGTTCTCGATATAATTTACCTATTTAACAATACAATCTATTATTACCTACTGATCATACTACCTATGTTTATTCTATGATAAAAAAACCAACCGCGCGAACACAGAGTAGCGCAGATGTTTTGTTTGAAATAGCTGTTCTAGTACGTAAGTACATATTACTTCAATGATTTTTATATTTAATTGTTGTCTATTAGGTACCCTGTTGCAAGTCCCTTAATTTAAAAAAAACTATGATATATTTTTTTAAATTTAATTAATTAAAGAATTAGATTATCATAGTGCCGTTTTAAATATTCGATAACAACAATCAGTTTCAATACTACAACAGGTGTTTAAAATGGTCGTTTTATTTATTTATGGTTTATTATTTTAACTACAGATTTGTTTCGGTTGAGTTAGCGCTACAATAACAAAAAAGGTTAGCACGTCGTACGCCGATCGAAGGGTGCCGTGAGTCCACTACTCATCTCAAGGAAATGGGTTCCCAAGTTGAGTGATTTTCGAGTCTTGAGTCTCCTGCCACCGGATACCTAAAGTCCGCATGAGGTCGACGCATTTGCTCTTTCAACCAATACAATGGTTGTTAGGTCGTTAACTAAAGGTAGCACCAACGTATCATAGTAGACACCAGTAACAGAATATTAAAGCATCATAGTTCTAGATGATAT